GGTGAGCACTGTGAATTGTGCAAGACTGTTGAATCACAGATCTGTACCTCTGAAACAAATAATACATTATATGTTAAAAAAAAAAAAAGAAGATAGCAGGAGGGGAAAATGAAGGAGGGAAAGTCAGAGGGGGAGACGAACCATGAGAGACGATGGGACTCTGAAAAACAAACTGAGGGTTCTAGAGGGGAGGGGAGTGGGAGAATGGGTTAGCCTGGTGATGGGTATTAAAGAGGGCACGTTCTGCATGGATCACTGGGTGTTATACACAAATAATGAATCATGGAACACTACATCAAAAACTAATGATGTAATGTATGATGATTAACATAATAATAAAAAAAAATTTTATCTTAAAGACCCAAATTCTAAATTTTTAACCCACTGCCTGCCCATGCCAGGGCATTTGCATGGGCCTTGTCCCCATATGGGAAATCTTATCCTGCACATTACAGCAATGCCCTTCTCAAGCACTGTAATTCAGCCTGATTCTCCCACATGGGGATCAGTAGGAGAGGAGAAGCAGTAGTGGGGAGAATACCCACATGGGTAGTTTCAGGAGGAGTATCTTGAGTCTCAGCCAGTCTTGGGTTCACTCATTTCCCAAAGTGGCAAGTGAGATGATTTTAGGTCATATAAAGATATACTTTTTTTTTTTTTAAAGAATTTTCAGCATTCTGGTTCTGTATTCATTATTTATAATGAATTTTTTAATTGTGTCAGGTTTCTTCTTATGAGTTCCCTCAAAAAAGATAGTTCTATGAGGAAAAAAAGGTAAGTCTATTTACCAAAAATATTATTAAATGAAAATAGTACAGTAGCTCAGCAGCTGAAAATTTTGAAAGCTGGTATGCAAGTCACTCAAGCTTGGAAAACACTGCTCCCTGCAGCTAAGCTGCGTGTGTGTGTGTGTGTGGGGGGGTCTCTCTCGGTTCTCTTCTCTTCAACAGACCCCACAAAGGCACCGTGACGGAGGCCACCATGGGTGTGAGTTGTGTAAGGGCTTCCTTAGGTCGAGAATGCAGCAATATACCACTTTGGCTGGACACAAACCAGGTGTAAAAGGGAAAACAGGAAGGGCCATGACACTGCCTACTTGCCAAGAGAGCCCAGAAAGTTCATGGAGCCACACTCGTGACCTGGGAGCAGTAAAATGCTGGATGCTCACAGGTGAGACTTTGCTGTGGGACTCTGAATTCCATAGAAAGTCACCAAAGACGCCTAGGACTCTCATCCATCAGATTCTCCTGTGCTCCCTGGCTCTCTTTAACTCCTAGTCAATTATCAGCAAAATACTCCAGATCCTTAGCCTCTTCTGGGAACATCCCCATCATCTTTACTCTAACTGAAGGCTGGCTCTCCCCTTAGGATCCACTGCCCCAGCAGCCCTCTCAAGTAGGGACTGTTTTCTCCCCCCACTCTTCCTCCCATCGTGCTGGGATGTAGGTAGAGATTGTTGTTCTCTGCCCAACTCTCAAACCACTGCTCCTCTCTCCATTCTAAAATCCCTCCTCTGTGAAGCTCATGCCTTCAGACCCTACACTCCGCCCACCTTTCTTACAGTTTTCAACTCATCTTAGTCACTTCCCAATTCCTTGAAGGTCTTAGGTTCTGCTCAATGTCACCTGCTTCAACACTTTGGAACTCCTGCCATGAATCTTGGTCATTCCAGTAATACCCAGATGATCCCTCCAATACCCTGACCTGCTCCTTGACCTTCGCCCTGGTTCCTTCCTCACTCAACTTAGAAACCATGGGCAATCATGACAACCATTCCTTTGCATTCAACCTCAAATCTCTTTGTCCTGCTCTTGAAATTCCCTGGACCAATAACTAAACCATAACCTTGGAGAAATCCAACTGTCTACTTACTCCAGGCTTGCACCTGCCTAGCAGAATGTGAAAGAAAAACACCAAGAAGTGGACCGACTGGTCTCATTTGAAAGTCACAATCCCCACTTTCAGGTCAGCCTGGATGCCTCCCACCAGTCATATCCCATTTTCCAGTCCTATCCACTCTTCTCTTAGATAGCAGTTTTGTAAATAGTTTACTTCACCTTTCTCCTCAAGCTTTCATCACTTTTCTCCCTGTCCTCAGCTGATAACCTTAATTCCTATTTCATTGAGAAAATGAAAGAAATCAAAGAACATTTCCCCAGGTACCCTTAATCAAGTCTCTTCATTGCCACCATCTATCCTGTACCTCCTGTTTTTCCCTGTTACCAGACACGACATATGGATCAGTGCTCCTGTTAAAATCAAGCCCTCTCCTTATACACTGCATTCCCTCTTGCCTTCTAAAGGATACTGTAAGACGTAGTTTTCTCTTCTCGCTCCTGCACCAACACATTCTCATTCTGTATCATTCTGCACTAGATTATTCCCATCAGCACCCAAACAAGCTATTATTTCTCTCATCTTAAATTCCCACCTTGGCCTCATTGTCCTTTCTAATTACCACTCCATTTCTATCCTTCCCATCATCACAAAACTCCTTGAAAGAGTTTATTCTTGGTATTTCAATTTCTTTCTTCCCATTGTCCCTTGAATCCCCTTCAATCCACTCAGCATTCCACTCAAACTACTCTTACCAGCGTCATCAACAACCCCCATACTGCTAATGCACTGGTTAATTCTTGGTCTTGATCTTACTCCATCTATCGGCAGGATTTGATGTCCCGACAGCTCCTCCTTGTAACTTTTTTCATTTGGCTTCTAGGTTGCTACACTCTCTTACCTCAGTTTTCTCTGCTGAGACTTCTCTTCATCTCCCTGACCTCTAAACATCAAAGTATCCTAGGGCTTAGTCCTTGAACGTTTTATTTTCTATCTGCACTCACTCCTTTAATGATCCCATCCCATCTCAAAGCTTACATTTATATGCTGATGATTCCCTGGATGCTCATATCTGTCCCCCGAACCCAGACTCATATATCCTACTGTGCCTACTTGGATGTCTAATTGCATCTCAGACTTAACATGGCTAAACTTACCAAACTTAATATCCCAAACTCCCTCCCCTTCCTACCTCCCCATCTCAGTAAATGACAATGCCACTCTCCTACCTGTTCAATCCAAAAACACTGGCATCATCCTTGATGTTCCTCTTTCTCTCCTCTTTTCCTCTTCAAACGTGCTACATCATAAGTATGGCCTCAA